GAACACTTCATGATACACTCAGCTGGAAAACTTACCGCGTGATTTTCGATTGCGGTGTTTACCAGGCGAAAACCTAGAAATGTAGATTGTAATTTTTTAGCCATAATAAGATGCAGCTAAAAGCCTATTTACTAGTTACAATTATCGCGTGCGACTTCAAATCGCGTCTTGTGAATGGCCCTATGACCTACATACAACAGTCGTACGTAACCTACGACTTGMAATGGCTTTGAACCACGGTTCAACACGGCTCAAAATAGGTYGTTTTTAACTCGAAGATTGCGAAGCAATCGAAGAGTTATTGGAGGGGGAAGAATCTGTCACTCACTAAGTCACTCACTCACTTTCCTGTAAACTTGAACCTGTGATACTTGTGTTCACAATTATTTATCATATTATTATTTTATAGTAATTTATTCACTAATTTGTCTTTACTGGTTTCCCTATGCTATATCTGATTGGATTGAATTCATTTATTTTTTGGCATATAATGAAATCAAAGAAATATGAGTCATGTGGGATCTAAACCTGGGCCCACTGGATCGGAAATCAAAGGCACTACCGATTAGGCCACGCGTGCTAATGTTACACAATAGCGGCTATACTTGTCTTTTAACTGGCAGGYGCTCGCACCTGCTTGTCTRGAATCGAAGTTAAAATAATAAGATTTTTTACGAAAAAATCTGCATTCAAATATCGTTTTACTTAAAATTCTATTTGTAAAGTAAATCTAATTTGATTTGTTGTATTGTTCAGTCACAAAGGAAGCATGAGGAAGACTCGCCGATCCGASTAATTCGTCTCGAAAATCATTTTACGTGTGTTTTATTTATCCACGTTCGTCTACAATTCAAAAAATGTATTCGCTCGCTACCGTACTATTACATTGTAATATTTGATATATAGTTTATTGTGTGGTTAGATATCGATGATACTATTWAGAGCCGCTACGGAAACTGGCAAACACTAGTAGCGCTAGTAKCGTCAATAAAAACAATGGTGCCGTATAGTTGGTCGGGGATTCAATTGAACCAACTTTCACTGAGTTGTTTAATTCACCGTTACGGAGTAAGCATTCTTAAAAGAATTGCTGGAAAAAGTAATTAATAATAAAAAAAGAAAGAAAAGTATTTGTTATTCCCTTGGGATTTGGATTTTAACCACTGAGCTACGATGGCAATTTTGGCTAAGACTTGGATTTATTTTGGCTTCACTCGCCGTGCTTATCCACAACCGAAGTTAAAATAATAGGATAAATGTCAGAAATCGTTTACTTAAAATTCTAATTGTTAAGTAATTATAATTTGATTCATCGTACATGTATCRTTCTGTATCAATCTTCGAGTTATGCTGCCATTGGCGGCTTGATTTTAGTATGCACATAGCGAATGGCCACCAGTCCAGCAAATATTTCATCGATTAGATTCCGATCCACTTGGATTTGGTGGCATGTTTTTTCCATTTAAATAAACGTTCGTGTTCGTTTGGCAAATTCGGTTTCAAAAGAGGTTTATGCCTGTCATGTCGTAGCTAAATATCAGCATTTATACCTTACCTTTTAGCTGATCAAACCGTGATGTCATTTTGAACTGAGATCCAAAGACAACGGCAGATGAAGTACCAATAATGAGAACTACCAAAACGCGATTCATTTCGATGAAATGCTCGTCTTTAAGTAAGTTTCCAGCTGCGCTTTGATAATCTAAGGTTTTTTCTTGTGACCTAGCAGATCTGGCAACTATAGACGTTGCATTGGCAATTCATCAACATTTCAATCTATAATACTCATTTAGTATGGTGTCCTTTTGTGTTATCACACTTTTAGGGTCAGAACTAAATGCCAACACCAGCTTATCCGTTCCTGAATAAATCATAATTTACTATGAAATATACGTAACGTGAACATATTAGGCGCACAAAGTGTGTAAACTAATTTAGAATGGTGGAGACTAGCGGTAAGCTGGTGTGAGCTGCGTCGGTGTTTTTAAAGAAACAGTTGTGTAAAAAGATAAATTTGACACCGTTAAAAATAGGTGAAATTATTAAGTTATTTCACCTGTTTCATTTATATTTTTTTTTTTTAAACAAAACAATTTAGATACTAGACTCCGTGAAAAAGGAAAGGCAACCAAAAACTGTTATCTGTTAGGGTATCTTTTTAAGATAACATATTAATTTACAATTCCAAAGTCAATGTTTTACAAAAACGCCACAAGCTGGATTCTTTTCATATTGATATTTTAATGCCCATTCATTGTGATTGTTCGGGTGTTCGAGAACGTTTATTATTAATAAGAGTTACATAACGATCGTTTTCATTGGATAAAAAGCAATTCAAAGATATACTGAACATAATTTTTTTAGTTTTTTT